CAAACAGAAACTGGGGAAAGGGACGCGCTACTAATCTTGAATAATTAACTACTGTCAATCAAAGTTACCTGATATTGGACCCCTGAAACAGGATGCGTCATAGGCTATGCAAGTGATTAACAACACTTGTTAACATAACCACACCTCCAATTCACACTTGCCCAGGGCAAGTGAATTGGGCCTTTAACAGCCATTACTTATAGCCTTGGATATAATAAACAGTATGACACCAATAATCATACTAGCCAACGAAAAATATTCTTATCTGTCATAATTCAACCGATTGAAGAAATTGTTACCTTACTAACACCTTCCAAGTAGAGTTTTTTTGCCGAATATGGACAGTTTTTTTCTACTTTACAATCCATACACTTCATGCCAGCACCTTCAGGCTAAAAATAGATGTGAAATATTACATTATTAATATTCATTGCTGCAAATTATTCACAATAATGTATCCCATTGTTCAGCATCAAGACCCCGTACATGTATATTCAAAAACAACATATAGTATCCAGGAGTAGAACTACCATATATCAAATTGAATCCAGACCTCTAAAAGTCACTGAGTGGGCTTTTCTAGTATCTACTTACATGCCAGAACTACCTGTGCCTGTCTGAAGTTGTGCTACAGCTGTGAAACTATCTGCATTTGTGAAGAAAACTGTTGCCACCGTGTAATAATGCCTTGCTAAATGGATACACTTGGAATACCTTATCAGCTTCATAACGGCCATGAGTATTCACTTCCTCACCCTTATTTTGGTCTCACTGCTCAGTCATATAATTCAGCTTGATTACTATTGTTTTCTTTTATGTTATTTATGAGTTTATCTTTTCAATTAAAGGGAATAGTCTTTTAAAATATAAATATTTGTGTTGTTCGAAATCATTCAGTTTTAGTCAATTTCCATTAATGCTTTCATCCAGATTCACAATTCCTAGGACTATTTTAAAATCTTTAGCTTAATTATTAGACCTTGACCTTGTAAGCAGTTAGTCATAGATAATATTGAAATATTTCTGAACAAAATTCATTTTGTGAATAATGAACATAGTACAGAACATTAATGTAGACACTTTTTTTATACAAATCTTTATTGTTTTATACAACTATATAATAAGACAAAAGAAGCATGTTATTACCTTTTTTTCCTTCTTGAAATGATTTAATGATCCAAAAGATGAGACGTGAGTACATCTATCAGAAACAGAAACATATGCGTATTCATTAAGATATAATAAAGTACTTGGCTGCATGCACACTGCAATCTGAGCATACAGATCAAAAAGACTTTAGAAATTTCAGCCAATATCCAATCTGATTAAAATCTGATATATTTTATTTTATATATTTATTTTACTTTTACTATTACTATTTTTTAAAAATTTTTTGTTTGTGATTCAGTATATTTTTAACTATCGACACATACATCTGAACCAGACCTCCTCTGACTGGTTTAGTCAACAAATCACAGACCTCCTCTGACTAGTTTAGTCAACAAATCACAGACCTCCTCTGACTGGTTTAGTCAACAAATCACAGACCTCCTCTGACTGGTTTAGTCAACAAATCACAGACCTCCTCTGACTGGTTTAGTCAACGAATCACAGACCTCCTTCTATAGCACACCTGATGACATCACCAATCAGAGGTCAACAAATCACAGACCTCCTTCTATAGCACACCTGATGACGTCACCAATCACAGACCTCCTTCTATAGCACACCTGATGACATCACCAATCAGAGTCAGGTCATAAAGAGACTCAAATAAAATGGCGGATTATACTGATGTTAGCGATGAAAATGATCAGGAAAAACCTGACATTTTGATAAGTTTATCATTGTCAAATGCAACGGAAATCATCTATGACTATATTGTGGGTTATATGGTTCCAGTTTAGGTCGTTATTTTGCGTAGTTATTCCGGGAGTGACGATTTGTTTCCACCGGTTTTACCAAACACCGGAATCTTTTTCCGATCGCTTGCCCTGGAGACGGTGATGTTTTGTTGTCATAAGTAATTGAGCTGAAGACGAACGCAATGCAATTGATCAGAAATTTTTTTTTTTGCTCCAATATGCTGGTGACCATTGTACAATTTAAAATCAGTTTGTGATTCAATTTTTGCATTGTTTACTATTGTTGTTTATAGTGTTCTAATCACTATTATTTACTTATTCTAGTTAATTATGCTCAGTGTTTGGTGTAAAGTTGAAGCGATGACTAAATAAACAAATCTTGGCTGGCAAAGATGCAGCAGGAAGTGTACATATTTGTTGGAAATGAAAAAAATATTCAATGTAATGAACAAAATTGTAAAATTGGAATTTCTTATATACTAGTAATTTTCCATTAATTTATTGAGTTGTACATGAATTGGTGGCCAAAATATAATGTACAGGAAGATTGCCCCTAGTGTATTGCCACACTGAAAAGTATGCATTTCAAAAATGTTAATATTAGAGCGAGAAACTGACACTTTCTTGCAGCTCATCTACACTTGATATAATACACACCAATAACTGATATTTTTTGACGTGGCGGTAGTATGTAATTTCGAAAAAAATAAAACAGTTTAATGACGAGAATCCAAATTCACGCTGACGCTCAAAGTGGTATATGTCTGGCCATGTTTTGTGCAATTTATCAAGAGAATGTGGTCAAGAACACATCAGTAAAATGAAAATTTAAATAAATGGTTCATCACAGTAGACGACAGAACATGATTTTTTAGTACTCAAAGGTTATTGAAAAAATGACCCCAATATCTAACCACCTTTCCGGGCATTTTCCTTGGCCAACCTTGACTGAGATAATATGATTGACTTCAAAATGAAACAGACACCATGTACCAAAATCTTTATTTTGTTTGTACATTGTAATTGTTTGCTAATTATTTTCTCCAATGAGTATGTCGTCGGCCAATATGAAAGGCCAGCTGTGATTGGCTGTAGCTTATACAAAATTTGAACAGGATTTATATGATTCTTGTTGGCTTTTTCGATTACCAAAACTCTTAAAAAATTAAAAACGTCCAAACTAGGATCTTATTTTAATCAGATTGAGACAATATCTAAATGTAAATAGATCAGATAATTAAAAATAAGGTTATACAAATAAATGCTAAAATGCTACAAATAGTCATATCGGTTTAAAAAACAGGAAAACACATAGAAGTCCCCATACAATGTGACATGTGATATTAGCAATATATTCAGTATATTTGTAGAGATTGGTATTGGTCCACATCCAACATGCACACTGAGCATGCTTGTAAAACAATTCTATTTCAATACCAGACAGTTCTAAGGCACAATTAACAAGTAAAATTACATCAGAGTTTCCATGAGTTACAAAGTTTGAGAAATGATTGCACTAGAAACTTTTTTGGTATACACAATGATGCATGGACACACACAAAAATTATTAAGTTTTCGAACTGCGCCCAAATTGGGACTACTAATAAAACCAATTAACTTGTAGAAAATATATATTTACCAAATCACTAACATCCCTTTTTAGAATCCCTCAACAAAAACAGCACAATCAAAGTGCAGACAAAGTCCATGTATGCATACATCTGCAGTAGTTTTTTTAAAGACATAGCGCCCTCATTGGTCAAATGTAGAAAACCTTAGTTTGTGTACAGTGAGCAGTTCAAGTTATAAATTCTTGATTTTTAATTTTCGTAACATGTCTAAAAATTAATTTGCTCCATCTTAATTAATTTGTATAATTACACATTAATTTCTTAGACAAAATATTCTCCAACTCACCACAAAATAATTTTGCCAAAAAATATGTATAAATTTCTAGCCAAGCTGTGGACAGAAAAAATATTAACCAAATAAATTTGGCAAAAAACAATTGCACTTTTTTCAGGAACTATACTCACTGAACTTACTATTTCACTACAATAGAATGCAATAAACTTATTCTGAAGTGCTTAAATTTACTGTACCTACTCTACCAACTAATAAGTATGCTGCATGCTTGAAAAAAATTTGACCTTGTGAAATGTTGGCTTGGCAAATAAAATTAGCAATTCACTCTCTCTCAATTAACAAAAAAAACCAGTAGTTTAAAACTACAGCAACTGAGATTAAGTGCACACCTACATGTCAGTATATAACATACATTTTTGAAATCAGCATCCCTATAATTTGTTGTATTATCACCATAGCAATTACTAATGTATGTAATACATATTATAATTTGAGTCGGTATACCCAATATGCTGACTTAACTACAATGGAATGTAACACGTCACAACATGTTTATGACATCGTAAACTCCTAGTTTGCTCATAAAAACCATACGCTTGCATTCACCTGCAATTTGTCAGCTATTCCCTACTACACTTTTTCACATAATTTACAGGAATTGCAATTAGCTCCACTCAGCATGACCTGAATCAAGACTACATCATCCTTCGCCATGGTGTGCATTGCTATAATGCAAGCTTGTTGAACAATGTCGTAGCATGGTACTGCTCAAGCTACCCCATGATAGAGAAAAGTAAAATCATGAAGTCTGCTTATGGTATTCATATCCTCTTTTCACCAACACACAAACATAATTGTGTGTTCGTGATTGCTACTGTTATCTATGCATTAATCACCATAAAGCATCGCATTACTGAGTGAATTATAACAGAATTGTAAACAATGTGCATACTTACTTTGCGGATCCCATCCAGTACTGGATCAAATCAACATCATGACAGCATTTTGTCAACAATGTAAATGAACTTCCTTCTTCATTTCTCCAGTTTCCACGTACGTA